GAAACTACTTTCCCTGATCTGATCATCCAAGAAAACATAAAATTGGAATGCTCACATCTCAAATCTGATCAAGAAGATCAAATCTTGCTATGCCCTGTACTCTCTCAGGTTAAGCTCTAACACTGGGACACTTCAGACAATGTATTTTGAAAATTTGCACTCACACTTAAAATAAGGAATAATATGTTCGGGAAATTCCCCTGAAAGCACATTTATTATCCAAAAAAGAAAACTGCAAACAATGACCAGGACTCGTAAGCTGGAGTCTTGCAAACCCTTTTTCAATAAACTAAGAATTCTTCCTCTACCATGCATGTATTTGAAATACAGGCCTTTGCAAAGAAGATTTTCTTGGAAAACAAAGACACTTTTACTCTAAATTCTGATGTACCCAACTACAACACTTATCAAAAGGATAGCTTACACTTTATCCAAAAATTACCCTAAGAGAGGGCATTACACTTTACAACAAACTGGGCCATCATATCCAAGATAAACAAAATACATTTTATTTATATATATATATATATATATATATATATATATATAAAATGAAAGCTTTCTGGCTTAATATGTTCTACAGTGTGAAAAAAACATACAAATCACAAAACTACTTCCCTTAAAAAATATAAATTAATAGCAGAAATGTAAAGCACAGGACCTCAGATTTTAGGACAGATGCCTATTTTGTTCCTATAGGAGACTGAACAATAAATGCAGATGTGAACAAATATTGAAAGAATAGAATTACTAAAAGCATCTAATAGTGCCTAAAATGTTCTAAAAGGGCGGTTGAGGCCTATTTTAATATTTTTCTGTCTAACACCAGTAATTTTGAAGAATTATCATGTTTTAATTACTCATTTCTTAAATTTGTTATAACGAAATGCAATTACTTTCCTGAAACTCTAATATTCCCTGACCATAAATGCAATTAACTATTCACCGAAATCTGTCAGCTAACCCACCTGACATACGGAGCTCTGCAAGTCTATATAAATAGGATGTTTCATGCTCATATCTGATCAGCATGTACTTAGGCAATTGCACCCATTCCCAGTGCAGCTGCAATGTTGAGAGATTGAGAATTTAAGAATGAATGAAAATTAAAGTGAATAAAATAATAGGATTATAGTCACTTTCATAAATGTAAAAATACCTGAATTTCTTAAATAATAAAAAGTGCCTAATTTAATCTGTGATCAGTTTTAGATGTCAGAAACATAAATTTTCATGACTAACGTTACTTAAATGCCTGGTTTAATCGTTTTATAACCTATTGTAAGTGCCTAAAATATCACTTTTCATGCCTAATTTAATAATTTTTGTTACCTATCATAAGTGCCTACATCATCGCTTTTTTGTGCCAAAAATTTCAAGGGCTAATCTTAACTGACTTGTCATACATCATTAAAATTATACCTGTGACTTAAAAATAATAATAATAATTATTATTATTATTATTATTTAGCATATGACACTAGTCACCCAGAGGCTCACAGAAGCTCTGAAAAGCCATGTGATCTGAACATCTCTATTGCAAGCAGAAAACTAAATTATTTTGTAAAACGCTTGTTCTCATTCATCCAGTTTTGATTCCAAAACAGAACCTCCCTTTTCATCCATTTTCTAATTTCAATTAGATGTAATTTGAGCTTACCTAGTTTCATAGTTACAAACACCACAATTCCTCCCAACTACTCTCTCTAAACATTTTGGGAGTACACCATTTACAATTCTATACACAAATGTTAAAATATCTCACTGAATTTAGTGCTCAACACACAAACACACCTTACTCAACATTTGATTCACATTTTCACTTCTATCTGGAGCTGCTCTAATTCCTTTATGAAAATTAGACTTAGTATCACTTATTTGCCATCATAAGGAAAGAAGACCAATACTTGATACATGGCATTATAATAGCTTTAAATAAAAAAACTTTTTCCCCCTCTAGCTTGTGTCAATGTTTTCCAACTTTTACATAAAATATTCTCTTTCTTTGCTATTTTAGCATTGATATGTTCCATGTGGTAAAGGACAGTCTATTGTCTAATATTATCCCGAAATAAATAGTAATATTTTTTTTTAACTCATTTCAGAGTTGATCCTTTGTCACCATAAAGTACTGCCAGGACACTTCTACATACAAGACAAAATTAATGTACAGGAAAACTGAAATTACTTCTCACCAGAGCACATAGTACATACATTCTTGTTTGAGACGTCACAGATGTGATATTTCTGCAGTTCAAACAACGTAATTTAATTTGACGTAAACTACCAGTGTTTCAATGATTTCTTGTTTACTGTACCCAGTAATCTGAAACTGTAACCCATACATTTTTGAAATATTGGTTAGAAATTTGATTTACAAAAGTTCCATGTGCAGTTACACCTTTGTACTTTTCTTGAAGAAACGTATTTAAAGTGACAACGTTTTACATGCCCTTTTGCTTTAGCAGTTTTTACAATTAAAAAGGAGTTTTGCAAAGAGAATACACAAGGAATCACTTATTAATGACATTTATGAAGGTTTACATTTTTTTATAAACATTGTAAATAAAAAGTTACTGTACAATGAAATTTCAAACTCATATTTCTTGGAATATTGATTTTTGTAATTAGAACCATGTTGAAAACGAAGGTTGCGATATGCCAACACATTCTCAAAACTTGTACCTTTTCTTTGTCGAAATTTTCAAAGCCTGGGGTGTTCAGTTCATATTCACATTGTAAGGTAACATATGGAATCACAACTACATAATTTTTTAATCTTGGTTGCCCAAAAGTATTCATGCCAAATTAGGAGAGCTATTACTGCAGGGCAGTAATTAGTTAGTCACATGCAAATGTAAACAATTACACTTTCATGTAATAGAATTAGCTGATCTCTGCACAGATATTGGTTTTCTACAAATTTTCTTTCATTTTGCTACACAAAAATGCAGAACTGTAATCTGATGATCCAAGTGTTCCCAGCTACCATGTGTCAGATTGATACTCTTATTGTTTAGATTAAGCACTCCCCTGCTCTAGTTATTTCAGTTGACAGTGACTAAGATTGTCACATTTGGATGTGGAGAGTATAACTGATGTTTGAAGTACGACTGATCTATAAAATCAAATTCTGACAAATATTGGTTTTCACGTTAATTAGAATGCAGTATTGATTATTTGCTGGCCACGGAGTTCATGTGATGTAGCTTTCATTTCTCTTGCATGAATCCTTCTGTTAATTTAAAATCAGTATACAATGTTTTTAACTTTGTTTAATAAATATTTTATACAAGTAATTAACAATTCTTAATAAATTTAAATGACAATATGTTTTGGAATTGTATATTGTAGCTATTTTTACACATTTGTTACATATTTTTATACTTTTCGTTACATACTTCGCCTTTCCATACTACACATTTTTCTACTCTCGAAATCAGTACTGGGGACTTACTTTCATACTGAGTGAATTCTCCTCAATGAAGAGAGTACTTAAAAGTTACTGTTTAGTGAAATATAAGTAAACATCTTATTAATTCATTCAAATAAATTAAAATATTCCATTAAGAATATTTAAAATCGTTCAGATTATACAATTAACATAATACTTGTTCAATTATTAGGAGCCATGTACAGTCCACAAAATCAACATTATAAAAAACTGCCTAATTGAACATTCTTTACACCATACAAGCATAAATTCCCAACCAGAAAAGAAAACAGAGTACAAACATATTTGCGGGTATCTTTTCCAAAAAAATTGCTGTTGCGAATGATATTGAAACAAGAGGTCGAGATTGGAGCTTTAAAAAAAATTGCAAAAATTTTGGCGGGAGTCATGTGTTTATTTAATGATCTTTTTTTAGGGAATGTTTGGGATGAGATATTGTCATGAGCAATCTTTAATAATTGCTTTTACTTCTTTATACGCTTTAATGATTTTCAATTCAAGTTTTCACATAAGGTTTAAATGAAAAATTGAAAATTAGTGAGTACAGACTATGACTAAATATACTGGTTGTAAGGTGTGTTGTATTCATTTTTATTTTACAAAGATATAAAGAGGCTTTTCGGTGAATATATTGAAAGATAATTAATTGAACAAATGTAACAGATATAGGATTATTACTACCTTAAAAAAAATTTATGAAATATCACATAAGAATATTGGATTTGCTATAAAGCATTTTCACTAGTACAATGAGATTTGCTGTATCATATGTTATTTTTCGTGAACATCCATTATTTTGTAAACAAAGAACAATTATTACAGTAAAATCCAACTCTGTTTTGTATTCAAACAATATTTATCACATTTTAGGCAGTTACAGAGTTTAGGTTATTTATGTACTACAGTCCGTAACATAAAATGATTAATTTTACTTTACTGAATGCACACTGAATACACAGAAAGAACTCACTGTAACAAAATGTTTTATAGTTGATTCAACCGTAATTACATTACAGAACTCAACTTTGCAGAAAGAGAAAACTTACAAGGAAAATTTTCACAAAATAAATTAATGTCTCCTCTTTAATATATTGTTTGAAATTGATATATACAGGGCGAATTTACATTGGCTAATAACTTATTGCACTGTATACAAAGATAATTTCAACAGGATAATAAAGATGTAGCCATCGACATTAATTTTTGGTTACATTTTATATTTTGTAGATCTCTTACTTCTCTTTTGTAGAATTCTTACTCCTGTTCTGTTTTTGAGCTTTCAGATTTGAAAGACATAGAAAACAACAATAATCAATGAAATGTGGATTGAAACAACGTTCAGTAATAAATTATGAAAATGCAGATATCTGGCAAATAAACTGGCAATTATTTAGCCATTTTTCAGCCAGTAATTCTTCTGTACAAAATCTTGAGATGAAATACCCACTTCATTATTAAAAGAATTACAAATCCAATTCCATTAATAATAATGACTCATTTATACAAATATCTTTTATTACAATCATTATCATATATGGTAATTTGTTTATGAACTAGAAGTAGAATGACTGAACCACCTGTTGAAATCAAGTCTGAGTAAAAGTTGAGATAAGTGAGCACCACAAGGCTCCGAGCGTAGGCAAAAGAGTAGCTGCATTAGAAATCTTACATGTGATGTGAATTCTTCATCCATTTTCAGCAATTCCACAAGTTCTTCTTCATTAAGAGGACTACTCCATTTCTGCATACATTCACATAAATTCTCACTCAAAGAAAGGATTTGATCCAATCTGCGATGTACTTGATTAACTTCTGTTCTACAAGTTGTGTTTGATGGGACAACAGACTGAGTCCCATCTGACACATGTCCATTCTGGGTGGAACTAATTCGAAGGAAAGTCTGGCTGAGTATATTGGACTGGAAAACTGCATGAGCCTGCTGAACTTTCTCAAAATCTTGTGAATTCTGAATGGTATTTTGCATTAAGATATACTGACTTTCAAGAACATCAGCCTGTAAGTAATACTGTAAGTTGTCTATTAAGAAAGTAAGGCCAGTACACAACTGCCAAACTGAAAACTGAAAAACATTTCCTCCCACAGTCTTACAAGCTTTTATATTATGTTCCAGCCACATATTATGAAGGTCCGCTTGTACTCTTTTCACACGTAAAAGGAATTTGAACAGCATATTGTAACACTCCAATGTTTCATCAGTGAAAAGTAAATGGAGAGGCCAACTTACCTTATACTGTAAACTGATGTGATCCCAACTTGTTATTTCACTTTTATCAGCCCTCTCACCTGGTAAACTTTGTTCTCTTTTGTGAAGTACAAAATGAAATTTGTCCAAAGCAGATTCATCAGCCCACAAAACTTTTCGTGCAGCAATTTGGAAGGCTTGGTTAACTTCTTGGGCAGACGCATTTCTGGTCAGATGAGGTCTTACTTCTCGTATAAACATTAAGAATAATTCTCCTCGTCCCAGAAGAAAAAAATCTTTCATTAATTGAAGTTGTTGAAACAGTTCAGCCTTTTCCACAGCTACATGCCACAAGTGTTCAGTAACACAAGCTCGAATCTCATTCATAGTTGTTTCAAATTTATTAAGATCAAAAGTAGGTAAATTCTGCAATTCTTGCAATTTATGTAAAAATTCTTCTTCTTTGCTTCCCCAAATTGAAATATTTCTTTTCTGGCTTTCAGAAAATTTTCTGTCACCCACACTATTGCCAAACATCAAAATTGTCTGCCCAGTGAACAGAATTTTATAAGCAACTGAGGCTGGTATGTATGGGGGTAACATACTGAAATTAATTCTATAATCACAAAATGCAGGATACATGACTTTATTATCACCATTGACTTCTGTGGCATAAGAACCACAGTTGCTCTTTACAAGAGAAACTGAATTTCCAATGGAAAGATCTTTTCGATGTTCAATAAAGAATTCTTTGTGTTTGTCCATGAGATGACCATACAAAAGCCAACTTGTTAGTTGTTTATAAAAGAATACATGACAGTTGTATAAAATATGACCAACAGCATCTTTTATTTCACTTGAAGGTAAATGTCTCCGGAGAAAACCAAGTACTTGGCATCCATGCAAACCTTCCAGGCTCAACTGGTTGACCATTCTGTTTAAAACATTGAGAAACAATGCATTTTTTTCAGCCCTATATGTCACATGTGACAAAGGCAAAAATGGGTCATTTAAAATTTCCTTTTCTAAAGAAACAACATCTTCTCTATATGGCTGCAACACATTATACAAAGCCTTACAAAATGCTAGAATGTAACCTCCGATACCGCAAGGTGCTTCTGAGGTATCAAATGAATCTTTGGCGTTAACGGCACAAATATTCTTATCAATGAACTTCTTTAATGACAGGTAATCTGCGGCAACCCGTGTTATTCTATCCAACAATACTCGTTCACAAGGGTGTAGATGTTTGATAAAAATATCCTTCTTTTCTTCATCTTCGCTGGATAACACACCCGGATACCCTCCTAAGGCGAACACTGCCTCGTGAAGCATTTTTAAGCAGGTGGCAATTCCACTTTTGGACTTAACAATTCACACCCATTCGATCGAGGATAAATAACCTGCTCCTAATGCAGGCCATACCACTACAATCCATAAATCACCATAAGCGTCAAATTTGAGTAGAATTATAATGGTTGTCTCCCGCCCAGCTCCCGCCGTTTGGTGCAGCACCCCCACCATGATGCAAGGACAACCTCCTACACAAATCGATAATGAAAGCAATGATTAATCGATTCACCGAAAATCGATTCAACTGGCGCGTCTTTTCATCATGCTACAGCCGAAGCCTTCGATAATACACACAGGTTTTGTCCCAGTTGAGAACAGCGTAGCCTACAACAAATCAGCCCTTTCACTAGATAATATATGAAAAGTGCTAACTTAGCAAATTTCGGCCACCTGTGCTATTCGAGTTCCCCCTAAATGTTTGTATAAACGGTTGACTTTTTAAACTGCATTTTAGAAAGTTGTATTAATTATCGTCGATAGAAATAATATCTACATTAAACTTTAATAATCTTTGGGAGGAAAATCCAGAATATTCATCAGAACAAAAATCCAAAAATTATCGTAATTATTTGCGGAGTGGTGGAACCAGAAATACTTAATTAAAATTTGATATTATTTAACTCATTCATTTTTTCAATATATTGATTATAATGAATACATAGTTACTTAAAAATATAAATAAATACAGTAGAACCTTACTAATACGAACTCCGCAAATCCAAAATTTCCGATATCCCGATCAAAATTCGGGATGTAGAATGAAATAAATAAATAAATAAATAAATAAATAAATAAATAAATAAATAAATAAATAAATAAATAAATAAATAAATCGGCTAAAATTGCGCACCATCACTGATTTCAACCCACATCTGAGGCCAGGGCGACCCGCGGGACAGGCCAGCGGGTGCGATGACATGGTCACTATTGCAGGTGCCGAAACGAAGAGGGGGAAAAAATGGCTTATGGGCATCCAAATGCCATATGCCCCCTCAAATGTGGGTTGAAAATCAATGATGTCGTGCGGCGCAATTTTAGCCGATTGCAATGAAATAGTTAAAATGTGCGAAGGGAAGTTCTTAAACTAAAGATTTAAAGCTTTTATCTTATCTAAATTAAAACTATTTTGGATAAAAATGTAGTGCTATGGTCATTTGAAAAGTGTATTTTTCTATGATTTTAACGTAAGATTGGCCATAGTCTGGCTAATGTGGCACAGTGTTTGTGTCAAATAAGTAATGTTTGATATTCATATAATTATTGCGGGATAACGTGGCACCACCTCAGCTAAAAGTCAGAGTTAAAAAATTACATTAAATAATATTTATTCGTTATTTTCTAAAAAGTAGTGAAAAATTGCCGAAAATGGGATGTTTATGGTGTTTGTTACACCCATAAACCCGTTTTAAAAACTGTTTTATTGGTGTCGATGTTGTTCTTGCATCGAAAACTTTTCTTTATTAAGCCATTGACTTCTATT